GCGTCTTAAATAAGAAATTTTGGACAAAAAGTTTAACTACACATGCCAGAAACTTGAAACAACGTAAAATTATTAGCCTTGCATATTAAAAAAAACAACAACCGAAACAACATTATAGCTATAGCAAGTAAATAAGAATAAAGCCCTAGAGAACCATTTATGCGATAACTCCGTTTATTTAAGTCGCGTCTTATGTAAGTCGCGTCTTATTTTGTCTCGTATAAATGGCCCTATTGTTTCCACGGGTGGGCAAGCAGGGAAACATTTGAGGAAACATCGAGAATCACAAATGTTTCCACAACAATGTTTCCTAGTTTGCCCAGGGCTTAAGGTAATTCTGCAGTAATTGTTCCCGAAATGAGAATGTGCTGAAACTTCCCAGGCATGGAGTTTATGATATACTTAAAGTAAAATGTTAAGCACACAAAAAGTCGGGGTCACCGAACTCGTTAAGAAGATATATGACAATCACAATATACCACCTTTACCCCCAATATGGCACCATCTTGACGCTCATTACGAGTAACAGCAAAATCACAACAGCCCGATATTTATTGACGTTTTTAGCGCGGATTTTGCTTTAGTAAACCTATCTTGTAATTATTTTTGAAAAAATATTGTGTTTTGAGCAAAATGAAACTACTAACGTGTACAATTCTGATCCATAAATGTCTTTTGCACATTTCTTTACATATCTTTCTTTGAGAACATGCATTGATAAAGGATTTTTTTTCAAGATCCAGAAATGATTTTTCTTTTAATTTCGGATATGAAATGTAAAATGCATTAGAGAAATAAATGATCAGTTAAAAAACGGGGGTCACCGATAGATATGATAAATAGATATGCTACAACCCTAGCTACACTTTTGTATGCCTTTTTTGAAAACATTGATTTTAACGTAATTCTTTGCACGAATGTAACCAAAGATGTTTTGAAGTAACATAAAATTGTCATAAAATGATTTTTTTTTAAACGGTACGTATAATGGATGAAATTATAAGATGTGCGCAGTAAAAGTGCGCAATGCAAAACTGCGGAATTACCTTAAGTATGTCACATTGACTTTAGAGCATCGTTTTCATCAATGGACATTAGTTAAAACCTAACATCTCAAGCACGAAAACGAAGTTCTATAGCGATGGTGACGTACTTTCCAGAAGCGTGTTTCTTTTCGTATTTGAGTTCATAAATGCATTGATTATAGCAGTGCATATTTTTAAATGTTTTACAGTGGGGGGGGGGGGTGCTCCACAGAGTAAGATTCAGGTCACTGAGGGTAAGGTTGGGGCCCCAAAGGTTGAAATATGCCTTGGATCATACATCATAGATCCTAATTTCTCTTTTTATGTTTCAGGGTGCACCAGGAAAATCTGGTGAAGGTGGAACACAAGGGTCACCAGGGCCCCCTGGCTCACCGGTAATTGATACAATCAATAAATATTGAATGCAATCTTAACCATTTATTGAATACAATCATAATCATTAATTGAATATAATCAATAAATCATTGGGATCAAGATCAGAGAGAAATATATTCGTGCGTGACACACGAGATACTACGTTACCCTTGACATAGTTGTACATGTTTTCATTTCTAGGGTAACCCAGGTCGGGACGGACCTGGAGGCGAACCTGGACCCCCTGGAGCGCCAGGACCAAGCATTGACATTGTAAGTAAAAAGGAAACTGGCATGTAAATAGACTAAATAAAATATTAAAATGGAAAATGTTTCATCCATACAATAAATCTTGAAGATGGATGGCGAAATTTCGATATTTGAAAGGTTTTTGAATCAAGGCATAAATTTTTACCAGTTTTCATATAAGTCCATCGAGAATATAATAGACTCCTTTGCGGGTAAGATATATCACATCAAGGCATAAATTAGCTACAATCAATTTTCACTTGTTTTCTCAGGACATGGGCAGACTAGCTGGGGCATGGCGTGGATCTAGTGATGGCAAAGGACCTTCACCAGCATCAATCAGAGACATCTTCAGTCGTCTACCATCTGGACCAGGCCCACGAGGTCCCCCAGGCAAACCTGGTAAACCTGGAGCTCAGGTTAGGAAATACCATATGAGTACCATCAAGATACCATCATCGTTATGACTTTCATCTTACCAATATAACCACTCGCCACCATCCATGCTTTCAGCATTATCATCATCATACCAACAATCACTACCATCATTATCACTATCATCACCACCCTAACACCACCATGAACAGCACAATCATGATCACCACCACCATCGCAACTATCACAACCACCATCGTCACCATAACTCCCACAGTCATCATTATCATCACCATCAACACCATCATCACCTCGATCAGAAGCACCGTCGTCATCATCACCATGACATCATCATCACTATCATTACCACCATCACTGCCACCAAACTACCACAGTCATCATCAAACCACCACAATCAACACCCACCTCACCAGCAGACTTTAGTTCCACCATCATCACATGACCACCACAATCATCACATGACCATCCCAAATACCAAAATTATTAACCATTCCTTTTTCTCGTATGTAGGGATACTCAGGACCATCTGGACCACCAGGTCCACCTGGGGCAAATGGAGAAATGGTAAAAATACACTGCCAATTTTGAAATGAACATGTCTTTCACCGTGTTAATAGGTTTACTTCTATCATTCTCAACATTTCATCTTAGGGACCACCTGGTACCAATGGACCACGAGGCCCATCTGGACGACCTGGACCACCCGTAAGTACTCGTAATTTGTCTTAATACGTGATTAATGTTAATCCCTTCCAGTTAACACTGGAAGTTTGGGAGCTGTCCAAAAGCTTTGCTCCATAAAATGTACAGATGTTAGGTGCAGCGTTATTTTGGCATTGCATTTGCATTGCCCATTTTCCGCACATCACTGCTGCTCAATTTGTTGTTTTTTGGTGCAAATATGGCACATACGTACCCCAACAACAAGTGACGTCCCATACCCCAACATAAGTGAAGTCACATAAACCAAGTGAAGTCTCACACCGACAAGTGAAGCTGTATCAAATTTAATGTAGTGATTATTTAATGGAAAACACACACAAAGTAAGATTATTTGCCTTATGAAATATTCTCATTGTTAATGTTCCTACTATGTTTATTTCAGGGAAAACGTGGTAATGATGGCCCTGCCGGATCTCAAGGTCCACCTGGACCTAAGGTACGGCCACACCAAACCATCAAACTAACTTATACATTCCTACACTTGTGAACTGCATCAACTCTCGTATTTCAATCCAAACTGGTACACTATCAATCATTTCTACAATGCTCTATTTGTTTAATTAAGCACAGTTTATAGTACATCCTCAATTTTACAACTTTACATCTTTGCCAAATAGGGTGGCCGAGGTTACGATGGAATGCAGGGAATGCCAGGTTCGAAAGGTCACAAGGTAAGGCTTCAATGTTTTAAAACGGCAAACGGTACTTCTGTTAGATGTAGTCGAAAAACGAGCCAAAAATAATTTCTAAATGTCCCAACCCGAAATCAAAACAAGGATTCTGATTTAATATTTTGGATTGCTTCAGTTTTTAATTCACGAAAAACCTACGTTTTCTGTAAACAGTGAAAATAATATAGTGCAAACTTAAATTGTTTTGAAAAACGTTATCAGGACCGTAGCGAGCGGGGGGGGGGGGTGTAACACCCCCCTGATAATTGGACATATGGGCAATTTCAGGTAAATTCAGGTAGATTTGTAGAAGAAATTCAGGTAAATTAACGCAAATTCAGGTAAATGCTAGGACAAGAGAAAGTTGATTTACAAAAAATAACTGTGAATTTGGGAAAAAATGAGGGTAAATTTACAAAAATTTTAGAATATTCTATAAATTTTCGGAATTTTAGAAAAAAAATTCCGCTAAACAGGGAAAATTTGTGATGTCCGGAAAAAGTTTTTATGTCGCGAAAAATTTTGACATGTCCGGAAATTTTTTTGTTACTTTCAGGTAGGATCACCTGAAGCGTGTTCTTCACGACGGCACTGAACGTTATATTGTTTTTGAAAAATGTTTTTTCATTGCGTTAGTATGTGATATGCGTCATTTCTACTCTTTTAGGGTGATACGGGAGCACAGGGAGGCCCAGGTGAAAAAGGCGAACAAGGAGAAAGGGTAAAAAAATGATCCAAAAAGCTTGAAAATGTTCATTTTGAAAATTTGCTTGAAAATAATCTTTTATTTTCTTTACCAGGGAGATAACGGAGAACAAGGACCACGTGGAACACCCGGAGAACGAGTATGTCACAATCATCACATAAATTCACATTCGTTGTTAGTTGTTACCGCGATCTGTGCGAAGGCCCGTGTTTACACTTGCAATTTGTGCTGCTCTTTGTAATGCAATTCTGCTTCTTCTGATGCATGTGAACGAGTAGATGAGTTATGAATGTTCTGAGTATACGTCCCTTCATCTCAACATTCATAACTCATTCACATCAGAAGAAGATCTCGGCGAAAATTAGGGGTGCACCGGAACCAGTTTTTTAAGTTCCGGCCGGAACCGGATCCGACCGGAAGTGGGAAAAATTTATTAAAGTGCCTATGCGACAATTTTTTTTATGATTGAATTGCAAAGTTCATTTAAAATTATAATATAACTTGTTTTTTAAAACTTTGTAATCTTTTCCTATTTGTCAAGATTTTCGACTTTGTTTGATATACAAATGTGACTTAAATGACGTCACACTGCATAATGTGTTTTACAGAAGACTGTGTTGTAGCTTGTTAAAATTCTCATTATCTCAATTTTACAGACGAAATGATCGCTTTGATAGCTCTTAAAGTATATCACTTTCAATGTCAGTGGAATTATTACATGTTTGGCAAGGAAACGTTTTCTTTCTAAAAACTCATTATGCAGTGTGACGTCATTCAAGTCACATTTGTATATCAAACAAAGTCGAAAATCTTGACATACAGGAGAGAATACAAAGTTTTAGAAAACAAGTTATATTATGATTTTACATGAACTTTGCAATTCATTCATAAAAAAAATTGTCGCATAGGCACTTTAAGCCATATATAGTCGTATGTTACTTTGTCCGCTGCCAGACAGGCAGACACTTCAAGTCATCAAGGAGAGAGCTCGCAAATGTTAGAATAAAAAGATTGACAAGCGTTAAACGTCATCATGAAGTGTTAATAGTGTACATTTCCCTTGCGTAGTCCTAATTTCTTCCTACTGTGACCTTTTGTTAAACACAAAAACGTTTGATATTCTATCTCTCTGAAAACGGCAGAGTTCCGGTTCCGGCCATGCTTTTTTTACTAGTTCCGGCCGGAACCGGAACTCTATATATATATATATATATATATATATATATATATGAACTCGGCCGGAACCGGAACCGGAACCGAGTTCCGGTGCACCCCTAGCGAAAATTGCAATTGTAAAGGGGCCTTAAAACACCACGGTTAAGCAGTTGTACAGTAATTGCTTTAAATAGAAAGACAATCTTAACATTAAAGAACTCTGCATTCTTTTACAGGGTAACCCAGGAGAACCAGGCATGCGAGGTCCCCCCGGGCTTCGTGGACAAACTGTAAGTACTTTTATCACTTTATCTCATTCTTTCCTCATTCTTTTACACAAAACTAAACTATTTTTTAAACTGGATAGCTCTAACAATTTAAAACTGATGAGGTAATATTTATATTTTATGGTAAAATCATCTTCATTTTAGGGCCCACCTGGTGAGCGAGGAAACATAGGACCACGAGGGCCACAGGTACGACACAGTCTTGTAAATAAATTTCAGGAAAAATGACGGAATAAAAAGTGAAAGTAATTAGAGTGAAAAACGCAAAAATAAACCGTCGTAAAATCTACCCGTTCGAAAGTACGCAAAAACATATATAATCACAGGTTTACGCATTCTGCGCGTGTTAAATTTAACGTCCATAACAGATAAATGACAATTGGACCTTTGAATGGATTCCCAATTTGTTCTAATCTTGTCAACAAATTTAGTCGAGGGGCTCTGAAATCGTGGATTCGATTCTCGCTATGGACTCATGTGAAAAGAGTCACACAGTTATTAAAGGGTATGAGCAACAAAACATTTTATTGCTTCATCTGAAAGAGCATGAAAAAAAATAAGCCGATTGGCCGTTTACTGCTCTATTCTATCTCATCTGGTTCCGAAGTTATACGCAAAAATGTGTAAAATATAAATTGCTGATTCAGCACAATGTGTGACGTCAGAAGATGGGTAAGTATGTTTATTGAATAGTAAACTGAAGCATAGCTCAGTTATTATTGGCTCAAATCAAATGAAATTTTGCATACAGATAGTACATGATAAGACGCATGGGCAAATACTTCTAATTTTGTTGTCAAGGCAACACAGTCGTTCCCAGGCCCCTTACACTGATTTTGAATAACTAGTTGCATTTATCTATGTGTATGTCATTTTCGAATTATTATCATGCAAGTAAACGTTTGTCATGCATAGGTATGGTACACATACTTCTGATATTATTTTATTCTTATAAGTACCATGAATAAAGCTGTTTTATAAAATTGGCGCAAGGGGCCTGGGAATGACATTGTTACCTTGGCAACAAAATTAGAAGTGTTTTTCAATGCGTCTCATCATGTACAATCAGTATCCAAAATTTCATTTGATTTGGGCCCATAATAACCGAGCTATGCTTCAGTTTAGTATTCATTAAACATACTTACCCAGCTAATGACGTCACACGTTGTGCTGAATCAGCAATTTATATTTTGCACATTTTTGCGTATAACTTCGGAACTAGATGAGATAGAATAGAGCATTAAACGGCCAATCGGCTTATTTTTTCATGCTCTTTCAGATGAAACAATAAAATTTTTTGTTGCTCATACCCTTTAAGAAAGTAATATCACAATTGACCACTTGCGTAATAGACTAAATTTTGTTCTCATCAAAAATTTCATCACAGCTTGAAAGAGCATCACAAAATTAGTAATATTCCAAAGTTTCGTTGCGAAATGTTGTAAAATGCAGAAAATATAGCCTTGCAAAGTTTGCAATTTTCAGTCATTTTAGATTACAAACGGGAAATTGACAGCCCCAAACCCTTTGAGGCTGTCAATTTCCCGTTTGTAATCTAAAATGACTGAAAATTGCAAACTTTGCAAGGCTATATTTTCCTCATTTTACAACATTTCGCAACGAAACTTTGGAGAATATTACTAATTTTGTGATGCTCTTTCAAGCTGTGATGAAATTTTTGTCTAGACTTGTTTAGATCAAAATTTAGTCTATTACGCAAATGGTCAATTAATTGTTGTAAAGATAAATAGTCTAGGCTAAGTATGTAATTCGGGTAAGTGTAACACTTGATATAAAGCGCATTTCGTCATATCTACTGTATGTAAATTTGCGCTATAGAAATGTTAGTAGTTATAATCATATCTATCTCTTTTCTAGGGTGACCCTGGTGTGAACGGTAATCCTGGAAGCACAGGTATCCGAGGACCTCCGGTAAGTGACGGTGTATTTGAACTAAGTCTTTATAACCGAGTATTTTGGACTATCTAACTATTTCTTTCCTATCTTCACAAGGGACCACCGGGATCTCAAGGGGCAACTGGAGGCTCAGGAGATAAGGTATGATAATGAGAAGATTATTGATTGTTCTAAGAATGATGTTTCTAACCTTTGCGTATTCTTGTAGGGTGAACAAGGCAAATCGGGTATGCCTGGCTTCCCTGGAACAGACGGCACTCCTGTAAGTAGAATGAAGATGTTAGAAAATTGACCTGCACAACAGGTCTGCAAACAAGTTGTTACAAATGTGTTCACAAGCTGTCAACAAGTTGTGTTCACACTGCTTGTTCCCAGTTGTTGTGACAAGTTTGGAACAAGCTGTTAACAACTTTAACAAGTTGTTCCATACTTGTTGACAACTAGACTGCGAACACAACTTGTTGACGGCTCGTTGGCAGACTTGCTACAAGATGCGAGATTTTTACGTGTGTAACAGAGAATGGAATTCAGTTAAGTGTGAGAATGAAGTTGTTTGTTGGTGTTCAAGTTTAACTTTTAACACTCTAGGGTCTTCCTGGATCCGAGGGTCCTTCCGGTTCAAAAGGAGATACAGTAAGTTCTATTTAATCATTTTACCAACAATTTATCCTTGAGAAGTAAAACAATTATGTATGTTCCATAATAATGATTCATTCCCTTATCCTAGGGTCCACCTGGTCAAGCGGGTCCTTCTGGTTACCCTGGTCCACCAGGCCAAAAGGTACTGATCTGGTACAGGTTAGGCCAACCAACGCACACACAACTCGCAAATACTTCACTAACAAGCTGTTGTTAACTCTGCCAAGATAACGTCTGTTGTTAACTCTGCCAAGATAACGAGGTCTGTGACCACGATAACGTAAAAATTATCAAACATATTAATACGAAAATTTGTGCGACTAATGGACATTACCCAAGGAGAAATTGATTAAATTTTGGTTAAATTTGGAATTAAAATTGAATAAGAAATGAGCAAAAGTTTGTCTTGCTTTGCTTTGCCGGACAGAGTAAACACAATGCGTAGTTAGCCTATTGTATAATTTATGCATGATACATAACTTAATTTGCTGGCAGAGATCTATAGTCCCCAAGTGCCTTCTAGTACAGTAATACAGTGTTTTTGATAATGGACTAAACATTCATTTAGGGTTCAGGTGGAACACGTGGCTCAACGGGAACCAAAGGAGAACCGGTATGAAAGTCAATCATGTAAATTTTTGTTCCCACCAAACTTAATAACAGAATAAGAATGTACATTCCATTCTGTGCTGTTAGGATGAACTAGGTGTATTTACCTACACATGATGTTATTTAGGGTGAACCAGGTATTGGTGGAGATAAGGGAGATCAAGGTGCCAAGGGTGATCAGGTAATTACTCATAATTGCTATTCTAATTAATTAATGATTAATTAGATTGTTAATTAAAGTAATAAATTACACTTTAATGCATTTCTAGGGAGTGGCAGGAAACTCGGGTCTCCCAGGTCCTGATGGTGCCGAAGGAAGGAAGGTCAGTGAATCTAAAAATCATTACAAAATCACCACTTGTTTTAAATAAGATTGTTTTTCAGAAGTTCCTTATAGGTTTGCAGTGCTATTTGTGTGCAGGGTATTCAGTCCCTCGCACGGCATCTTCAATCACCTTCATCAGTGCGATCAGTGAAAACAATATTTCGTCTATTTTATACCAAAATTGTCATTATTCCACCATGTCATTTAGGGTATTCAAGGTGTATCTGGACCACCGGGTCCACCTGGAAGCCCAGGATCAAAGGTAAGGAATCCGTTATGTTTAACATGTAATATGCTTAATGGGTGTATATTTGAGCCCTGAAACAGTTATGCTTAGCAAAATACTTAATGCAATATACTTAATTTTTGGGTATCAATCGCGTATTGTTTTTTTTTTGAATATTTGACTTAAGTGGGATCATTGAACTGAGATCAACTAAACCAATAATTAAGACAATGGCTGTCAACGCATGGAATATTTGACTTATTTCACTTGGAATATTTGACTTGGAATATTTGACTTAACTGGGATCATTGAACTGAGATCGACTAAACCAATAATTAAGAAAGAAAATGGCTGTCTTGACGAAGGGTTTTCTGCTTATTTTTTAAGGTAGTAATATAACCACTCAGCACAGCATGTCAACGCATTCTATATAACTGAGTTCTCCACGGCCTTTATATAAACCAATATAAAACAATACAATATAATAAAAGTCGTCCTTTACCCTTGACACAGGACCCTTAACCCCACCTGCGGTCATATAAAACCTGAGAATGGAGGTATATGACCAGGGTACTCTGGTCCTGACACAAAGGGCTCGCCCTCATGAATGAGGTGCCAACATTTTTTACTCCCTATTGTCTTTTTTGCTCAATCGATTTTATGTGAACGATGCTCAACATTTTCGTACACTTTTGTTGTGTAGGGTGATCGTGGTGAGCGGGGTTTACCAGGTTACACTGGACCACCTGGCTTGAAGGGTTCAAATGGTGCGCGAGGTTATCCTGGAAGACGGGGAGAGAAAGGTTCAAGGGTAAGATTGTTTTTCGATGAAGTTATCACTGGGAAAACGTATTCTCCAATCATAGTTTATTAAGATATGATGGTCTGGAAACTGAATAGAAGTCATTGTTTGATTTTTTGTCTGAGTTTATGTTAATTTGTGCACGGTCACGGTGATTGAGCTCATTGTATTTTCGTATATTGAAGTAATCGTCTAATAGGGATAGCTGAGATGAAACGTGCAGCCACGATGAATAATATTTAAGGTTACAGGACACCCTTTTTGGCGTTATGTGGAAAATCGCTACTGCGCGCTCAAAATCAGTCCGATTTTCATCAAATTTTCACCAAATGTTAGCCAGTGCATGCAAAATATGATAAAGTTGTAAAATTGACAAACAGTGAAATAATGTAAGAATTATTCAGGAAAATCTTAAGTCGGGGTACCTTTGCGCTTTTGAGTTATATTCCTGCTGGTTTTAAGTTATATTTATGAAAATATCATTTTTATACAGTAAAATAGTTGTTCTAAAAACTTGTGTTCGGAAATTTTTGTTTATTTCATCATTCCGCTGATATGGCGATTTCTTTGACGACTGCAATATATTTCTGAATCGTTTGTGTGAATTGCTCGTTATTATTAAAATATCCAAAATTAGAACAAAGCCGAACACAATTTTGAAACTGACGTCTTTAGCTATGTCCTGTGAAAATTTGAGAAAAATTCGTTAAAACCCGCAGGAGCACAACTCGTTTAAAAATCAGTAATTGCCGTAAAATTCTTCGGGAGAAAATTGAATTTGAATGTTACATTTTCAATGTTTTTCTTATTGCAAGTGAAATGTATTTTATTAAATAACTCTGCGAGTTTTCAACATTTTCCGTCCAAACTTGGTCAGATAGTAGAACTAATCTAATGCTTTCATGGAAACTGATAAAAAATTTTTAGGCAAAATTAACACCCAAAGGTGTTCTGTAACCTTAATGAAGTCGAGACAAAGGATTTGGTGAGGTACTAATTTCAACAAACAAAGGTCTTCTATTTTGTGGCTTTGAAGTTTGCCGGGTTTCCAGACATCATATTTTTACAGACTATGCTCCAATCAATGCAAGACTGACGAAAAGAACGAGTCGAACAGAAGCTTTAGACGATGCAAGACTTGTATAAGTTGCAGTGGAACAGTGAATGAACACTGCATTTTTGCATTGTCATAAGAGATTGGAATAAATATTTTGTCTTGTTTTTTTCTTCAGGGAAGCAGTGGTCCAACTGGACAGCCTGGAGCCAGAGGACGAAGAGTATGTACTTCATGTTGTACTTATGGCAAAATAGACTAATCTAAACTGCATTAGACCACATTCAAATTCATTCGAATTCAAATTCATTCTTTCTCCACCTTCGTTATTTAGGGTCCAAGTGGAGAACGGGGCTCACCTGGTTCACCAGGATCATCAGGGGCTAAGGTAAGGATATCAGGGGCTAAGGTAAGGATCATCAGGGGCTAAGGTATGGATCATCAGGGGCTAAGGTAAGGATCATCAGGGGCTAAGGTAAGGATCATCAGGGGCTAAGGTATGGATCATCAGGGGCTAATGTAACGATCATCAGGGGCTAAGGTAAGGATCGTCAGGGGCTAAGGTAAGGATCATCAGGTGCTAAGGTAACGATCATCAGGGGCT